CTCTTAGGTTTTGACACCCCCTCTCCCACCCTTGAAGTAGGTATATCCCCCACATAGAAGAAAACCTTCAAAGCTTTCCTTAATACGAGGTGAGCAAAAAAAAAAAAAAAAAAGTTGATTTCACTATACCAGATGCATTCTCCCTCCATTGTTGCACAGGTAACTATTCTTGTTCTCATTCTGAGAAAATCCATCTATGGAAACTCTATCACATACTCTTTGAGTATACGCACTGGAGAAGTTCATACAATGTCCATTTGCAATACAAATGGCATGCCCATCTGGGTAGTGCATTATGTTCCTCCCCTTATACTGTCCATTGAGATTCTGCTGGCTCTCACTACAAGGAAAATGGCTGCTAAGCCCATTGCCACAATGGTCATGATTTAAATTATACTGCTCCAAGTTCTTGGGAATCCGTTCTCTCTGGGGCTGCATGGTCTCTGCTGAGTTTTCTCGCTGCTCTTGATTATACAAAAAGGTATCCTTGTGGGCTCTGGTCACCATGCCAATCACTTCCTCCTTTGCAAAATCAGAAGAGGGAGAAGAGCTTTTGATGCTTTCTTGCTCCAGCTGGGGCTTGGGTCGCAGCTGTTCCTGGGCGGGTAAGGCTGTCTGTTCATGGTCTACTAATGTGTCATTTTGCAAATGACCACTGAACTGGCTGTTCATCATGCTCTTCATCGCACTCTGCATTTCAATTAGCATCCTCTGTTTTTCACGCTTAGGAATACGACCAAACCGAACAGCTATTGAAGAAAAAGATATTTAACATCTATATTCTAAATAAGACCTGTTTATAAAGAAAAATAACACAAAATTATCTTTGTTAGCTATGACCTCTAGCCATATAAGAAAAGAGTATCTACATGTCTCCGACACAAATTATTCTGAACTTACTGGCTATACCATAGGAAGTGTGAGGGAGAAAATTGTCCATTGTTCTCCCAAAACAAAACTAAGGAGAAGATCTATCTCTTAGATAATTTATAAGCACAAATCTAGAAACAAAACTTTAAATTAACTAATGAAAATCAGAGCCTGAAGCAGACCAGCACGACTACACAGCACCTTATTAGTAAGGCTGCAGGCTCTGTTACTAAGAAGGAATTCAATACTTACATCCATGAACACTAATGGAACCTAGTAGGCACAATCACTCCCTGAATATTTGACTTTTCTCAATTCATTTTCATAACCTTATTGTCAAGATCCAACAAGACCCAATGTCAAGTGACCTGTTCTTTCCTTTACTGGCTTCTTTAAAAATAAAATCTTAAAAAAATAAACAACAACAAAAAACACACGGTCAATAGAAATGTAGTTATTGAAAAATCAACTTGCTGGATTTTTATTAAAATCAATGAAACAAATAAAAATGAAATCATTCATCCTCCATTATTTTAGAGACTAGTCTTAGAATGTGCCTGTCTCCAACATTCCTATCCTAGAGGGAAAGGAAAAAAAAAGCTTCTGTCTAGTCTTTTTTACAAAGATAATAAAAACTTAATATACCACCCAGTAAGAAAGCCTTACTAATCTAAATGTCTCTCTGGCAGAAACCGGTTTGGTTCAGTGGATAGAGCGTCGGCCTGCGGACTGAAAGGTCCCGGGTTTGATTCCGGTCAAGGGCATGTACCTGGGTTGCGGGCACATCCCCAGTAGGAGATGTGCAAGAGGCAGCTGATCGATGTTTCTCTCTCATCGATGTTTCTAACTCTCTATCTCTCTCCCTTCCTCTCTGTAAAAAATCAATAAAATATATTTTAAAAAAATAAATAAAAAATAAATGTATCTCTGACATTATCAAACGAACAATTCCATAGTGTTTCACATTCTACACCTCTACTCCCTCTCCCCTTCACAAATGATAGACATTTTTATTCTTTTGGGGCAATCACAGTATCTATCAACTTTGGATTACTATTTCTAGTGCTATAAAAAATTTTTCAGGCAATTAAAAATCCCGACCATCAAATTGCTGTAAATCTCTTATTCAAGAAGCTCCTCATTGCAATACGTATTTCTGTGTCAGTAAGAGTAACCTAATAGACTGTTTAAATGCCCCTCCCCTAGACAAATGAGGTTCATTCTTAGCAATTCTTAATTAGCCCTACTAAACTAATCCCTAATGTTTCTTTAAATTTTGCATCTCCTTTCAATGTACTCAGAATCTGTACCCTAAAAACACATTATCTCAGGGCTGAGAAAGTAATAGAGATAATGCGCATAATGAGAAATGAGTTCATCAGCAATGCTGATATTATGGAGAAAGAGCCACAGATTCCTGTATCAAGAATTCCAATTTGGCTCAGTGTCGGCCTGTGGACTAAAAGGGTCCTGGATTGGGTTCTGGTCAAGTGCACATGCCTGGATTGCGGGCTCGTTGCATGCAGGAGGCAGCCAATCAACGATTCTCTCTCATTACTGATGTTGCTATCTCTCTCTCCCTCTCCCTTCCTCTCTGAAATCAATAAAACTACGTTTAAAAAAAGAAAAACTAAATCTTTTTGGGGGGGGGAGAAGTATTGAAATTGTATGGGGGAGGGGGATCTTTTTACAAGAACCAACAAAATAAAAGAAGTGAATCCTAGCCAATTTGGCTCAGTGGGTAGAGCATCGGCCTGCAGACTGAAGCATCCCAGGTTCAATTCGGTCAAGGGCACATGCCTGGGTTGCAGGCTCGATCCCCAGTAGGGGGCATGCAGGAGGCAGCTGATCAATGGTTCTCTCTCATCATTGATGTTTCTTTCTCTCCCTCCCTCTCCCTTCCTCTCTGAAATCAATAAAAAATATATTTAAAAAAAAAAAAGTGAGCCAAAGCTGTTCCTGGAATGTTGATGCTAAAATTTGACTTTAATGAATTTGGCATCCTACAAGGCATTAAAATGTGTTTTCTAAAATCTGCTTCACCCTAAGCATGAGAGGGCCACTGGTAACTGGTTTATAGCTCTGGTTTATGCTGAGGAATAAAAGCCAGCCCATGTGCTCTAAGAAAGAACGCTCTTTAAACTGGGAACATACCATCTCTCGACATTCCAACAGACAGACACTTTTTAAAGCGACACTGCTGACATCTGTTCCTATTCATTCTCATTATAGAACAGTTTTCATTCTTCAGGCACTTCTTGTACTGGATGTTTTGCTGAATGCTTCTCCGAAAGAAACCCTAAGAACAAAGGAAGATGTACCCATTCATTTAAAAACACCCAGATGAACTTATAAGTAGCCTCCTCCAATCCCTAACCATCCATTACTAGCCACACCTGAGAAATAATTTTGGCTTAGACCCAAGGGAAATATAATCTTGACACATGGGATTTGCCTACATTCTTATCAGTATCAATAAGCACCTATATCTACTAGCGGAACAAAACCCTCTTCCCCTTCCTTTTTGCAGACTCTTGCTGCTTTCCAAGCACCCCTTGTACCACACTTTCCCCTGTTACCAGCCCCTGCCTGCAGCCACATTTCCCAGCCCATACTTTAATCACATATAAATTCCAAAACTCTTGAAATAGGGCTTATTTTCTAAGAGTTAACATAAAAATATGTTCCATAGCTACAGTGATCCCCTCACTGGAACAAAGGATTACGTTAGTAAAGCGTGGTCTTCCCTAGATCATTACCTGCTGACACCTGCAAGGCCTGCTTGTATGTGCCAGATGTTCTTGGTTGCTTGCCAGCAACAGTTAAGTGTCACACCAGAGACCAACTAATGATCCAGGAAAAGAGTTCCCGGCTAGATGGCTATAGATTACTGCCTTCACTAAACAAATAAAGTAAGTGCATGTGCTGTGACAGGTATTCAAAGATCCCCAGCTTAACAGTTCCAAGGAGAACGGAAAAGTCAAGAACAAATTACCGAAATTAACTTGAACTGCAGTTTCCTTGAATATCATAACTAACCACACATTTCATGAATCTTATTAGTACTTGTGGGATACGGCATTTTTAGACTTTATTACTGTGGTACTACTATACTTGGAAACTACAATATCTGAGCTAGACACACCATTTAAGAGAGTATGGCCGAAACTGGTTTGGCTCAGTGGATAGAGCATCGGCCTGCGGACTGAGGGGTCCCAGGTTCGATTCCGGTCAAGGGCATGTACGTGGGCTGTGGGCACATCCCCGGTGGGAGATGTGCAGGAGGCAGCTGATCGATGTTTCTCTCTCATCAATGTTTCTAACTCTCTCTCTCCCTTCCTCTCTGTAAAAAATCAATAAAATATACTTAGAAAAAAAAAAAGAGAGATAGTATGGAGCAGTTATGTGTAAGTATCAAGAATACAAAAATTAGACTTATTGGCTTGTGCTTTTGTTTCTCTAGCCCAGGGGTGGGCAAACTTTTTGACTCGAGGGCCACAATGGGTTCTTAAACTGGACTGGAGGGCCGGAACAAAAGCATGGATGGAGTGTTTGTGTGAACTAATATAAATTCAAAGTAAACATCATTACATAAAAGGGTACGGTCTTTTTTTTTTCAAAAGCATGGATGGGGTGTTTGTTTGAACTAATATAAATTCAAAGTAAAAATCATTACATAAAAAGGTACGGTCTTTTTTTTTTTTTAGTTTTATTCATTTCAAATGAGCCGGATCTGGCCAGCGGGCCGTAGTTTGCCCACGGCTGCTCTAGCCCCATAATTACTTCACATTTTCGAGGGAAAACAAACAAAAAAAGAACAGTGTTTCTCCGGTGAGGTCGGGACGGCCCCAGTGAGGTTGAAATGGCCCGGTGAGGTTGGAACGCCCCAGTGAGGTTGAAACAGCCCTGGTGAGATCAGGACGGCCCCAGTGAGGTCGGGACGGCCCCGATGAGGTTTAAACCGCCCTGATGAGGTCAGGACAGCCCCGCTGAGATTGGGACAGCCCCAGTGAGGTAAAAACGGCCCCAGTGAGGTAGGGATGGCCCCGGTGAGGTTGAAACAGATAATGGGGACCAGTATCAGCCGCGGTGAGGTTGAAACAGCAACTAAAAATTATTTTTTTAAAAAAAGTGTTTAAATAATTTTTAAAACAGTGGAAAATTGCTGCATCTATATAAAATACTGACCAGCTTGTTAAGTGACCTGACCATTAAGAATTAGCAAAACCACAATTCATTAAGAGCCACCCTAGAAAATATTTCTTCTTTCATCATGTATATTCATTATCTTGCTCACCCAACGTGTCCCAGTGGGAGATGTGCAGGAGGCAGCTGATCAATGTTTCTCTCTCACCGATGTTTCTATCTCTCTCCCTTCCTCTCTGTGGAAGATCAATGAAGTATATTTAAAAAAAAAAAAAAAGTACTTTTACTGAATTAAAAACCTATTTCTCAAAACAAGTTATGCCAAAACCGGTTTGGCTCAGCAGATAGAGCGTCAGCCTGCGGACTGAAAGGTCCCGGGTTTGATTTCGGTCAAGGGCATGTACCTGGGTTGCAGGCACATCCCCAGTGGGGGATGTGCAGGAGGCGGCTGATCGATGTTTCTCTCTCATCGATGTTTCTGACTCTCTATCTCTCTCCCTTCCTCGCTGTAAAAAATCAATAAAATATATTTTTTTTAAAAAAAGTTATGTTTATAACTACATAAAACGCTTAAGAGGTAAAGAAGAGCAATGAGTTCTCTCCTCCTCCCAGATTATCAACTGTGAAAACTGGCAAACCAAACTCCAACTTGTTTAATCCCAGAATCAGCAGCTTAAAGAGACCAAAGCATGCTTTACCTTGCAGCCTTCACAAGCATGAACTCCATAGTGGAATCCTGACGCCACGTCCCCACAGACTTTACACAGAAGAACCATGCCACTAAATTCTAAGGCACAAACAGAAACAAAAGTAAAGACAGGAGAATATTTTCAACTGTTTGTTTTTTTTCCAATTGAATATTTTATTTTGTTCAACTTGTGTTTTAAATAGATACAAATGTACTTTTATCATGTAAAAGAAAATTCCTTACACCAAATTAACAAATCAAAAGACATCATGGTTTTCTTTGAAACTCAGTTTATGGGACCAAAAATATTTCAGAAAGCTGATTTTGCCCTTTCCTGATGATTTTAAACATACTCTGAAATTTTGTAAATCTAAAGTTACTTTACACAAGATATGCAACCAGAACTAAGAAAACCATTCTCCTGGATAAGAATGGAGAAATCAATCAATTAAAAAAAAATGCAAACAATGTCTTCACAGGCTGCTGTCCACACACTAGATAGATCCTATTCCTTCCTGATCTTCTCTTATACCAGCCCATCTTACCTCCACACTCACTCAGGGGTCAAAATTCCACTGCTCATTCAGTTATCCCAAATCCTGCTGTATTTCCAAATCCCAATGTTCCTAAGCTCCAACTTCATTAAAGCAAACCCCTTCCCATAACGAGTAAGTACTCTGTTCTAGACAACAGATTCAGTGCTAGGAGCCCAGAAGAAAGGTAGTAACTGTGAAAATGTGGCAAAAGGGGAAACTAACTGTAGAGGGATACATGGTCGGGCACAGTACATAACCCCATCTCTCACTGAGGCAAGGATCAGTTATGACAACTGCTTGAGGCTATAACTTTAAAAACCATCACTGATTTCTTACCTAACTACTGAACTATTATTACTCAGAAAGGAGTGAAAATCACATTCCCAAATATGGTTCCCCCAAATGAAGAATTGATAAATAAGCCCCACCTGCAATTAACGGCACCAACCTTTAGAAAACTAAAGACACTTACTTGTCACTCCACTATGACTCTTTGTCATGCCAGGTGCACTTGACTTGCTTGTTTTCATAGAACAATCTATTCGATCATTTTTCAGAATGCCTTCAATACTGGAGAGATCACCACTTTTGGGATTACCATTGTTATCAGAATTAGAGCTATTTGGAGAAGATGGAACAGAAGAGAAGGAGGACTGGAAACTATTATCAGATCCCTCACTGTGACAAGAGGCAGGGCTAGAGGCTGAGCTGGAAGAACTGATGTAGGCAATCACACCTCCTAGAAAAAAAGAGAAATCAGATAATTAGATACATGATATATATTTTCTATTTTTATAAATCTGAACAGTAAAGTCACTAACTTTAGATATTGGTTACCGATTAAATGTCAGCTTATCCCCAAAAGGAAAAATAACCAGCTTCCTTATTTCCTACTATAATTCCTGCTTCCACAAAGTTCAAAGCCGATATAATTCCCACCGACTTAAAAAGTGAGAAGGCTCTCACGAGGGATTATGCTGAGCACGTGCAGATACAGATTTTTCATTTTCCAAAAATGAATGAAAGACCTTCCTGAGTGACTCCATAACTTAAACAAATTGTTTTGGCCATGAAGAAATCTGGTTCTGATGCTCTCTGTCTCCTTCATTACACCTTGACATGACACAATTCTAGAAACAAGAGTTCATCATTTGCCTCCCCCATCACTTGGCTAAAACACAGGTTAATCAAGAACAGTTGTAACATCTGGAATTCTAGATAAGGTAACATCTCAAAACGGAGAACCTCCCAGAATCTCTGTTTTGATGCTCCCGGAAGACTTCTTTAACGATCACTAAACCCCAGTTCCACTTTCCCTTCTCCACCTACTTCTGACTTGCAGACACACACCTCTAAGCAGCTCTTAAGGAATCTAGACTCACTACTTATTCTTCTGCCTACAGTACCTATTAAAGAAGCTAGAAGGAAGACTGCAGACTATCAGAGAATTTAACATTAAGGCGAAAGTTAATGCCCTCTTCACAGAACTACTCGCAAAACACTTTCTCAACTTCATTAATGTAACTTCCACAATCCCTCTGAAACCTGGCCTTAGAGACCATAAACCTCCCAGATTAAGAAAAAGCACTTAAAGTTATTCTTAGGATATAATTACAAGCTTCTTCACTCAAAGAGATAAAATGTTGCAAGAGTAATAACCTCATAGCCAAATATAATATTTTTCCAAATCCCAGGCCAAACAAGTCATTTTCATCTTCTCTGCCAGGGTCTATTGTGGTTTATTTTCCACTTCCCTCCATCATTAATGAACATTTATTGGCTTTTCAATGTGCATCAGATGCAAAGTTATCTCTCTTCCGTCTCTGTCCTGAGCTGGCTCTTAAACCTACTGTTCACCTGTTTCCATCTATTTCTCTACTAGACCATGAGCACCTAACTGCTGAGTGTGTCTCTTAACTCTCTGTACATGCTTCAGGTGATAAGCCTGCCATAAATATCTGTGAGGCCTTCTTCTCCATGAGGCCCATGTCTAATAACATGGACAGATGCCCAAACAGTACAAAGCATTACTAGGAAGCTGCCAGTAAAACAGGCCATTTCTGACAACAATCTACATGACGATAGTGCGTAGTATCTGGAGAATTTTGCATATTCCCAAAGTAATCACTCTGAATTAATCATTCACTCTAAAGTAAAACTTTCTCTGCTAAACAGAAAGGACTCCCGAGTCTTTTATTTTTTTAAGATAAAAGATGGGCTTTATAAGTCATTTAAAACACACACACGCTTCTTTTCCGACGAAACACCAAATGGCGGATGAAGCCGGTGCTGCGAAGGGCCGGGAGGGCCAGAGGCCCCAGGAATAGAAGGTCGTGGCAGCTTCGATGGAGGATTTGGCAGCGGCACCCGGGGCTGGGGTTGCGGCCGGGGTTGCGGCCGGGGTCGGAGCAGCGGCCAAGATAAAAGATGCTTTATAAGTCATTTAAAACACACACACGCTTCTTTTCCGACGAAACACCAAATGGCGGATGAAGCCGGTGCTGCGAAGGGCCGGGAGGGCCAGAGGCCCCAGGAATAGAAGGTCGTGGCAGCTTCGATATG